ATCTCATGTTGTTTTTAAGAAATAAAATAGTTGTTTAACAAGTGAAAGGCAGTTATATCTAATTTTTTGCAAAAGTGTCACTTCCCCAAATGATTTGCTCTGAAAACAGCACTCATCTGCATGTCTGAGTTTTGAAATATTGCTGATTTGAGCCCATATGACCTGAGAAACATGCTGAGGCCACAGCACAAGCCTTTGGCCCAGGAACACTCATATGGGTGTCCACCAAACCCTGTTTCTTGGTGATGCCTCAGAAACTGGGTTTGACCTCACCAGATATGTCTTAAAAGGAGAATTAATCAGTAGTCAGGGAGAAAGGCTGGTGGGCTCTCTTTTTCAGCCACAGCATTAAGTTAGAAGGAGGAAAAAAAAAATCCAGGAGTGGGGAAGAGGAGAGCAGTGAAGAAGCAAGAACAGGTGTGGTGTGTTTTCTTTGTAATAAAGTTGAGTCATTCTGCAGCCAACTCAATACCATGCAGCCTGAAGCCAGGGAGTTTTGTTTTTCCTAAGCAATAGAATCTGACTCTGCCAGCAAGAAGCGTTTGACTGCTGTTCCTTAAACATGCAGAAGGTTTTGTTTGTCTTGTTTTATTTTGCATAATGGACACATTTCCCATGCAGCCACTTTTTCTGGGATCTTTGTCATGTGTCAAGGTAAGCGGTTAGAAAACTCCTCCGTGGGCCACGGGGAGGCAATTTTCACCTAATACAGAATGCTTAAGATGGAGAAAGCCAACTTTTCAATATCGCTTCAGGGACCATATTTTGTGCATTCAACACAGCTCAATGCAAAGTCAAGAGTTAAAATTGAGTGTAATCTGACAAGGAGATTTAACAAGGCAAGTGATGGCAAGTGAATTACTGCCCCCTGGTGGCCACACACAGCAATGGGATCATTTTGCTGTAATAGTCTCTTGAGTCTTGTCTTCCTGTGTTCCCTGCCATCTTCCACTACCCTCTACAAAGGGGTTACAATCTGGCAACCCTGGAAAGCCAGCCGGCAGGCATGCCAATTGTCTTAAAATCTGGAGATACGGCCAGGCGCGGTGGCTCACGCCTGTAATCCCAGCACTTTGGGAGCCCGAGGCGGGCAGATCACGAGGTTAAGAGAGCGAGACCATCCCGGCCAACATGGTGAAACCCCGTTTCTACTAAAAATACAAAAAAAAATTAGCTGAGCGTGGTGGCGGGTGCCTGTTGTCCCAGCTACTCGGGAGGCTGAGGCAGGAGAATTGCTTGAACCCAGGAGGTGGAGATTGCAGTGAGCCGAGATTGTGCCACTGCACTACAGCCTGGGCGACAGTGTGAGACTCCATCTCAAAAAGAAAAAAAAAATGTTGAGATACTGCTTAAAAATCTAGGCCTCACATTTCTTTTGAAAAATTGAAAACTGTATCCACTTTTTAGACTGCATCCCAGCTAATAAATATGGGTTAGAGCTGAGAAGCTGCTGCCCACTTTAGACAAGGCATGTGCCCTCAAATCTGCCACACTGCCCCCCCATTGTCTCATGGCCAGGCAGTTTTACTCATTAGCAGTTCCCCCATTGCTTCTGCATTTACTACACGTACCCTAAGCTAATTAAAGAGCTAACAAAGACAGGAGGGTGTCTTTAGAAACAGACAATTACATTGCTTTATGCCTGGGTGTGGACAGGGGTCCACAAGTCCCATAATACCCAGCTCAGTGAGGATGAGTGACTTATTCAAGGTCACCCAGCTAGCAAGCGGTGGGCCTTGCATTTGAGCGCACATCTGTCTCGCCCCCAGAGCGTCACTGTTTTCTGATGTACCAACTGTCACCCATAAGCTGGCTGCATGCCAGGCCCTCCTCTGGGGAAGGTTTTCACAATGACATTATAATTGGGCCATCAGGAAGTGCAATACAGAGGACTCCAAGAGAAAAATATTCATGACCTTTGTTGAAAAGATTAAAAACAAGAATAATCACCACCCTGATATTGTTCCTTAAAAACTATGGTTCTGGCTGGCCACGGTGGCTCAAGCCTGTAATCCCAGTACTTTGGGAGGCCGAGGCAGGCAGATCACTTGAGGTCAGGAACTGAAGACCAGCCTGGGCAACATGGTGAAACCCCGTGTCTATTAAAATACAAAAAAATTAGCTGAGTGGCACACGACTGTAATCCCAGCTACTCAGGAGGCTGAGGCAGAAGAATCGCTTGAACCCAGAAGGTGGAGATTGCAGTGAGCCAAGATTATCCCACTGTACTCCAGCCTGGGCAACAGAGCAAGACTGTCTCAAACCAAAAACCTCTATGGTTTGTCCTGCTGCAGGTGTTTCATGCTCATTACTACCAAATTGCTTGAGCATCTACTCAGTGCCATGCTCTGTGCTGGGGGCTGGGAGCTGTAAATGCTGTGGGGGGTGCAGGGGGCAGTTACAAGATATGAACAAGGGGCCCAATAGACAAGGGCCAAAGCTGCTTGGTCCTCACCTTGCAATGTCCCCAGTGGTGTCCTTCATGACAGCATGACTCTGGTCATCAGCCCCAACTCTGCCCTGGGCTCGGACACTTTGTTCCGTGCTGTGGATCAGTGGCTTCCCTAAACTGGAATCAAAACAAGACCTATACAAGGTGCAATGGGGGTCTCTCCCTGGTGGGTGGGGCAGCCTGCAGCTCTGGCCATTTCTTCTGTGGATAATAAAGCAGCAATGACTTGGTGTCTTCTAGAAATAATTACAACAGCTGATCTGTATCAAGAGTTTGCTCTGAAGACAGGTGTGGTGGCTCACACCTGTAATCCCAGCACTTTGGGAGGCCAAGGTGGGTGGATTGCTTGAGCCTAGGAGTTTGAGAACAGCATGGGCAACATAGCAAAATCCCATCTCTACTTAAAAAACAAAAAAACAGCCAGGCATGGTGGTGGGCACCTGTAATTCCAGCTACTCAGGAGGCTGAGGCAGGAGAATCGTTTGAACCTGGGAGGCAGAAGTTGCAGTGAACCGAGATTGCACCATTGCACTCCAGCCTGGGTGACAAGAGTGAAACTCCGTCTCAAAAAACAAAAGTTAGCTGGCATGCACCTGTAGTCCCAGCTACTAGAGAGGCTGAGGTGGGAGAATCCACTACAGCCCAAGAGATGGAGGTAGCAGTGAGCCAAGATCACACCACTGCACTCCAGCCTGGGCAACAGAGTGCCTGTGTGTGTGTGTGTGTGAGAGAGAGAGAGCGAGAGAGAGAGAGAGAGGGGAAAGAAAGAGGAAAGAAGGAAGAAAGAAAGAGAGAAGGGAGGGAGGGAGGAAAAAGAATGAACAAAGGAGGGAGGGAGGAAGGAAGGGAGGGAGGGAGGGAGGGACTGAGGGAAGGAGTGACGGAGGAAGGTAAGAAAGGGGAGAAAGAGTTTGTTCTGTGCCAGGTGTATAGAATCTCATTTCACCCTCCCATAAAACCCTGGGAAGAGTTAATATTATCACATTGTGTGCAGTTTACAGAAAAGCCTAAACAGATGATCAACAGGATCAAGTCACTTGCTGAGTGTGATTCAGTTTGCAAGTGACAGAGCTGGGATTTGAACCCAAGGCTGTGTGACTCTCAACAGTGACACCCACAGCCACCACACAGCCCTGCCTCTGAGGGCACTACATGCCACAGAAGAGGTCAGATCTCAAGTATCAAGCCTTCCGCAAATCGTGAACTGGATGCCAAAAGCAATGTAGGTTGTTTGTCCCCATTTTACAAGTGGGGACAGTGAGGCTAGGAGTACCATGCCCAAGATGACACAGAGAGTAAATGGCAAAGTCTGATTCTGAGCCCAGGTCCCTCTGACTCCTCAAAATCTGAACTGCTATATTCTTAATGCTTAGCGTTTCTGGGGCACCTCCCTAGATATTTCAGCATTTGTGGATTAAGATGGAGGTTTCCATTCTCTGCTTCAAGAAGAAAATTTCTCTCTGGAAAGCCAAAAGAACTAGCCAGGTCCTTCTGGAGAGTATGCAAATTACAAAGTCAGGAAGGATTGAGCAGGGTGGCTCCCATCTGTAATCTCAGTGCTTTGGGAAGCCGAGGTGGGAGGATCACTTGAGGTCAAAAGTTCGAGACCAGCCTGGGCGTATTAGCAAGACCCTGTCTCTACAGAAAATAAAAAATCAGGGCCAGGCACGGTGGCTCATGCCTATAATGCCAGCACTTGGGAGGCCGAGGCAGCCGGATCACAAGGTCAGGAGTTCTAGACCAGCTTGACCAACATGGTAAAACAGCATCTGTACTAAAAATACAAAAATTAGCCAGGCATGGTGGCGCGCACCTGTAGTCCCAGCTACTCAGGAGGCTCAGGCAAGGGAATCACTTGAACCCGGGAGGCAGAGGTTGCAGTGAGCCGAGATTGTGCCACTTCACTCCAGCGTGGGTGACAGAGCGAGACTCTGTCTCAAAAAAAAAAAAAAAAAAATCAGAAATAAGAAAATTCCCCTGGCTGTGGTGGCACACACCTGTAGTCCCAGCTACTCGGGTGGCTGAGGTGGGAGGATCGCTTGAGCCCGGGAGGTGAAGGCTGCAGTGAGCTGCACTCCAGCCTGGGCAACACCTGGAGACCCTGCATTTTTTTAAAAGAAAAAAAAAATAAGATTTTTAAGTCAGGGAGGAAAAGACAGAGAGGGAAAGAGAAAGAAGGCGGCGGCAAACCCAGCAGCATGGGGTGGGGGCTAAGAACAGGGGCTGCGCAGTCACGGAGGCTAACAGGGTGAAGGCGTGGATAGCATCAGCATCTTCATTTCACACCCGGGAAAACTGAGGCACACGACAGAGGCTCCGGGACGAGGAGACCCGAGGAAGGCACCGCCGTGCAACTTCGAGTTTCCGGGCCCGCCAATCAGCGCGCCGCAGTTTCCCGCACCTGCTCCTCCCGCCAGTGGCCTAGGCCCCGCCCCTCCCGCTGCTTATTGGCTGCTACGGGAACGAGTCAAACGCAAGCGACAACCAATGGGAGTGGCCCACGGCGCGTCTTTCCCGGGGAAGCCGACGCGGACGCGGGAACCCGGAAATGCGAAGGAAGGACAAGTCGGGAAAGCCAATCCGCCGCGACGAGGGCAGCGGGCCGTTCAATGGCGAGTCGCCGAGGGCGGGGCCAGAGGCCGGCGGCGAAGGAGTACCCGGGAGCCGGCGGCCTCGGAGCTGGGAGCGCGGGGAAGGCTTTTGGGGTTCTGACAGCCGCGCGCGGTGAGAAAGGGGCAAGCGCGAGGGACTCGAGAGGACGAAGCTGGGAAGGGTGCGGCGGGGCCGCGAGCCCTGGGCGGGGTTCGGGAAGGGGAGGCTCCGCAGTCTTGGAGGGGACTTAGACCTGTCCCCTTCCCTCTTCGGGCCTCAGTTTCTCCCTTTCCAGGGAAGTGAGGGGGAGAGATTCGCGCCTCCCCTAATGCACTTCTTCCCCGCACACACCCCTGGCACCGGCGAACTGCCCCTTGCCCTGTACAGCCCGGTCCAGGAGCCTGTCCCTCGGGAAGCCCTCCCAGACCCCTGGACCCGCGCAGCACGTCAAGCGCGCCCCTATTAAAGCGCACCCTAAGCCATTCCACATGTTCTGTGGCAACAAGCCAGGCTCCCCATAAGACTCTGAACCCCGTGATCCATCAGTCATTCTTGAGTCAGGACCAGCCCAGAGCAGATGCACAGGCCCTGCCTAGCAGTAAGGTGGAGGTTGTGACCTGGGGACTGGGCGCAGGGGCCCTGGGGTTTCCTTCCAAACGCCTCTATTTACCTCCTGTGGACCTTCTGGAATTTAACTTATGCTCTCTGTGCCTTGATTTCCTTTGTCTGTAAAATGGAGTTGGGGGTAGCCTTTCCTTCATAGGGTGGTGGCATGAGGGTGAGATGAGGCGATTGCGTGGCCAGTACATAGCTCTGCGCCCAGCACACCATAGTTGCCTAATAAGTGCTTATTGTTAGCATAATGTTTGCATACCTGGCCGCCCTCCACTTCCACTGCCAGCCCCAAGCACATACAAGCCCCCTTGTCACTGAGGCCAAGCTCTGTGGCCCACAGCGGGAGTTCCTTTCAAGGTGCTCCAACCGCTCATCCTCTTGGTGGTGTCCCTTCTGGACAGGCCAGGAACGGAAGGCCCAAGAGGGGAAGGGCACTGCAGGCACTGTGGCTGAATATCAGGGTGAGGGCAGTAAATGAGGCCACCCAGCAGTTGTGCTTATCGAAGATTGGGTGTCAGAACTGCCGTGGCTGATCTGCTTGTGTGTATCTCTGTCAGTCATTTGCGTCCCAAATGTTTGACATATGTCCCCAAACCCAGTGTTCGTGATCAGAAGCCACAGGGATGTATGGTAAAGGGGGATCACTTTAGAGCCGTGAAGTTTCTCAGTTCAAGTCCTAAGGCTGTCAATTGCTCACAGTGTGACTTTGGGCAAGGGACTTCACCTCTCTGAACTTCAGTTCCCTCACCTGGAGAGTGGGGTGAAAACATCAGCTCAAGTCGCTGTTGAAGATTGCAGGAGGTGCCTGTGTGAGGCGTTTGGTGCTGAGCACAGGGCCTGGACTGTGGCAAGTGCTCGATACTTGTTGGACCACAGTAGAGTTATTTTCACAGTCACACTGCCCAGGAGGTGGCCCCAGTCCTTCCAGCCTGGCCCGCCTCTAGTGAGATCCACTCCTTGCCTTGTCCCCACACCCCCATCTCTCTAGTGAGCTAAAAGAACAGGAAGTCGCCAAGCTCATCTTCCAGCTGAAGTCACGCCGCATCCTGAACATGTCTGTTTCTCCTGCAACTCTTGGCTCCTTGCAGATCCTGCCCCCTCTCAGCCGCCTGTGGACATGTGCAAGGGGCCCACTCCTGAGTCCAGACGATGCTCATGTCAATGGCTTCAGTGATGGCGGTGACTGAACCGAAATGGATCTCGTTCTGGGGCCGCTTCCTGTGGGTGACGCTGCTGAGCATGGTGCTGGGGTCCCTGCTGGCCCTGCTGTTGCCACTGGGGGCTGTGGAGGAGCAGTGCTTGGCTGTGCTCAAAGGCTTCTACCTGCTCAGGAGCAAACTGGACAGGGCGCAGCATGCCACCACCAGGTGCACCAGCCCATCCACAGAGCTCAGCGTCACCTCTAGGGATGCAACACTGCTGGTGGTGAAGACCAAGGCCTCTCCAGGTAAGACAGACTGGCCGTCTTCCTCAACGCTCGTAGACATTTATAGAATGTGTGCCATGTCCCGTGTGCAGGGTGGGTATTGTGAACAAGTCAGCCCTGGGCTCCCAGCATTAACAAGCTGACAGATTACTGAGAATGTCATGATCGTGGTTATGGGAAGCACAAAGGGCTGTAGGGGCATACCAGGAAGGCTGCCTGGAAGAGGTGACACCTGAGCTGGGACCCAGTTGTAAGTAGGAGTCATCCAAGGAGAAGGGCATCCAAGGAAAAGACCTCCAGGCAGAGACCAGAGGGTAGGAGAGAGCCTGGGGGCATTTGAGGAACTAAAGGAAGTTGAATATGTGGGGCTGAGCCTCACAGGTGGCCAAGGGGCCAGGACAGCAGGGCTTGGGCAAAAGCAGGCTCCCCACCTCCACCAGGAGTTCTCTGTGGTGGGGACTGACATAGGCATTGTCAGATGGTGGTGGCATCCCTGGCCTCTCCCCTGAGTTGCCGGTAGCACCCCTACTACCTCCCCAGTTATGACGACTAACCAGGTCTCCAGCTGTCACCAAATGTCCCCTGGGGCGCACAATCAAACCACTGGGTTAAAAGAGAGAAAGAACAGTCCCGGACGGTGAAGCCCCCAGGGCCTAGAAAGAGTGGAGAGTTTTTAACACCTTGGGCCTGCAGGGCAGGGAATCCGTGTCACCAGCACGGGTCAAGCTGGAGATGTAGGAGAGGGCCTACATTGGGAGCTGTGGCCAGAGGGAAAGGTCCAGCAGACCAGCACAGGTGACAGACCTGAATGTCCTCTGCCCCCTACCCTCCCTGACAGCACTTCTTTGGTTCTCTTCCAGCAGGTAAGTTGGAAGCCAGAGCCGCCCTGAACCAGGCCCTGGAGATGAAGCGCCAGGGCAAGCGGGAAAAAGCCCAAAAGCTCTTCATGCATGCCCTCAAGATGGACCCGGACTTCGTGGACGCACTCACCGAGTTTGGCATCTTCTCGGAGGAAGACAAGGACATCATCCAGGCGGACTACTTATACACCAGAGCACTGACCATCTCGCCCTACCATGAGAAAGCGCTGGTCAACCGTGATCGGACACTGCCACTCGTGGAGGAGATTGACCAGAGGTATTTCAGCATCATCGACAGCAAGGTGAAGAAGGTCATGTCCATCCCGAAGGGGAACTCGGCTCTGCGCAGGGTCATGGAGGAGACCTACTACCATCACATCTACCACACGGTGGCCATCGAGGGCAACACCCTCACCCTCTCAGAAATCAGGCACATCCTGGAGACACGCTACGCTGTGCCCGGGAAGAGCCTGGAGGAACAGAACGAGGTCATCGGTGTGCACGTGGCCATGAAGTACATCAACACGACACTGGTTTCGCGCATCGGCTCCGTCACCATCAGCGACGTGCTGGAGATCCACAGGCGGGTGCTGGGCTACGTGGACCCCGTGGAAGCTGGCAGGTTTCGGACGACACAGGTCCTAGTTGGACACCACATCCCTCCCCATCCGCAGGATGTGGAAAAGCAGATGCAGGAGTTTGTACAGTGGCTCAACTCGGAAGATGCCATGAACCTGCACCCTGTGGAGTTTGCAGCCTTAGCCCATTATAAACTCGTTTACATCCACCCTTTCATTGATGGCAACGGGAGGACCTCCCGCCTGCTCATGAACCTCATCCTCATGCAGGCGGGCTACCCGCCCATCACCATCCGCAAGGAGCAGCGGTCCGAGTACTACCACGTGTTGGAAGCTGCTAACGAGGGCGACGTGAGGCCTTTCATTCGCTTCATCGCCAAGTGTACTGAGACCACCCTGGACACCCTGCTTTTCGCCACGACTGAGTACTCGGTGGCACTGCCAGAAGCTCGGCCCAACCACTCTGGGTTCAAGGAGACGCTTCCTGTGAAGCCCTAACCCTAGAAACCCTCCCTCAGTGACAAAGGATGTCCCTAGGTAGGGGGAAAACACCAAAAAACAGCATTTCTAGAAACCTAGTCACTTCCCAAAGCAAAAGGAGAAACATTCTTTACCTCCAAATGTTGTTTTAATTAAAAAAGAAAAAAAATTAAGTTATTAAGCCTTGTCTCTAAAATAACTTATAATTCAACCAGGCTTATTTATTTTCTTTGGAGCAAGCCAGTCAGTGTTGTGTGGTGTCTGCTGTCTTGCTGGTGACTGTGCCTTAGGGGCAACAGTGCTGCCATGTGACCAGAACACAGGTTCTGGAGCAGAATTTGCACCACGGTGGAGGGGCAGCCAGGAGGTGTGGGACAGGGCCCAGAGGCAGATATCACTCCACGTGCTGCTCTGAAACAGGCTGAGAGATTCCATGAATGCAACTGGAAAGTCGGACCCCGGTCGCAGCTGAAAGAAGTGGTTGAAAGCTGGCTTTCTCGAGGTTTAGGTCAGTGGTGACTAACTTCCAAGCAAACTGCATAGAGAAAATGAATGACGCTCCTAGTTCAGTCCCTACTTACCTCCAGGAAGACTTTTTGAGCCATAGTTTGCAAACTTTAGTGCCAGCGGCTATTTTTCCATATTGAGACTGTTTTTCTAATTACGAATCGGGGTAGCCATAAAGAGCTGTTTGTGGGCAGGGGAAACACAGGGGGTTGGCCCATTTGGTTTTCTTTGGGTATCAGTGCTTTTCTCGCACTTCATTTGTAGCAACTCAGGCCAGATGTTTTCGTTTAAAAGTTCTCTGGGCTCGTCCTTCCAACTGTGTCGTGCTGTAAACCAGGTGTTATGCAAGTAGGCACCTGCCCTCGCTCCCCTGCCTGAGTTTTCTGTAGGTAGATGTTGAAGAACCTATCTGAGAAAACGTGCCACGTGGACACCTACTAAGCATTTTTGATAATGAATTAGAGCACCAGTTTCTACTGAACAGAGCAAAAACATTCAGCCACAGCGGGGTTATGTCCCTTTGGTCCTGAAGTTTCACCTACTTACTGCCTGGACCCCCACCTTCCATGGCCGTTGCTGTCCTGTGTACCCCTGGGGAGGCAGAAGAGATTGCCTCAGAGTAGCCTTATTTTTCTCGTGACTTGTGAAATGATGCAGTGCTCTATGTAATATGGCCAAGTTTCCAAGCTGTCATCCTATGGAATTAGAATCTTCTCTTTCAATCGTATGGCACAGGTGCCAATATGACTGCTGCTATTTAGAGTGGTGGAAGTCACTGGGTCCCCTTCCCAGTGATGGAGCCCGTGACGTCTAACACTGTACTGCACTTTGCCAATGTGTGAGTGATAGCGAATATGCAGTGTTATCTTTGATTTGGGAATTCAGTTCCTGACAGTAATGAGGCCAATGCTCTGACAGAGTTTATAGTTATTCAGTTGTATAAATACTACATTCAGAGTGTTTTTGAAAGGTCAAGAAAAATAAGTGAAAAGATACGTGAAATGGCTCCAAATGATAATTATTCAAAAAAATGTTTTCATACTCTCATGCTGCCAGATGTACTTCTTACACTCTTCTCGTCTTGGTTTTATAAGCACACCAAGGTCTGACAGATGAGCTTGCTTTCTACTTAAGAGCAAGAGAATTTGCACTTTAGCTATATGTGAAGGATATTATTTTAACAAATTCCCGATTCTAATAAAGTTATTTTATTACATGAATCCCTGAGACTCTGCTCTCTTATTTGGGAGGTGTTCCCATCTGTCCTAAGGGCAATGGGGGTATTCTGACCTTTAGCCTTATTCATAATACTGTTCTGGGGGAGCAACAGATCCAAGATGGTGATTTCCACGAGCAAGTGAGCCAGAAGTTGGATAACCCACCCACCTAGGTGGATAAGGATGAATTACTGATTTTCTTGGTTTTTTT